ATTAAAAAATTAAATACTTTTTAATATCGTCAGAGTTCGGATAACATAATAATTTCGTTCAATACAAGTAATTCCAGAAAGACAAAGAGTTCACAGTGTGAACTTTTAGTGCAGACGGGTTCACCATACCAATAGCATCGTTCTACCGTCTAATTCAAAGGGGATGGAAATTACTACGGCCTGAGTTTAGTTTCGAACCCTTAGCGGTGCCCTCAGACTAACGTCGTATCCATCAGGCAGGAGTTAGCCTTCACCAGATCTATAAATCCTTCCGCGGGTTTGGAGTGGAGGAGTACTCACCTCTCTATCTACGGTGAAGCTGTAGAGGCCAAATGTAGCTAAGAAAAATGGTATATATTCGAAAAAAAATCTATGAAGAATATTCTCTTATTTATCTGTCTGTTTTTTTTATGTTTATTAATGGAATAGTGCAAACGCCTCGCCACGCGCTATCGGTTTACGCTCACGAGGCATCAGTGGAGAGCATGAGGTCAGATCAGTAGCCCATCGTAGTAAAATTCACGAGTAATTTATCACGACGCTTTCTAGGAGGAACCGCGAGAAGGTCAAACTGACAGGGTACTTTGTTAGCAATAGGGTTATTAGTCCACATTACTAAAACCTCCTTACTCTTTTTTCTGTCTGTTAAACATATGTAATTATTAATGTACTAGTTTGATGTTATGTATCATTAAAACTAAAAACGGATGGAGAAATGTAAAAGTACGGAGAGATCTGTGATGACTTGCCAATGATATTATTACACACTGGTCATATTATTATATCGAACTCCATTGATACAGAATTATATTAAATTATGATTACCAATATGCTATTACCCTTTCAAATGCCATGCATCTAATGACTCAAGCTTGATTAAAAATAAAAAGTTAGATACATATATGATTTGTTGAAAGTTTAGAATTATTACTATAACATAATTTTTAGTTACAAGTTTTTTTTTATAAAATGACTAGCTTCAGTTGAAAAAGAATAATATATTATTGGGATAGGTTGTATACTATATATATACTATATATATGTATATATATAGGATATTATAAGTCATAGAAATTGGTTTACATAACCAATTTCCATGAATTATAATATGCTAAATGTCTTCTGTAAAATAATAGCGAAAATTTCAGAAAACGTAAAAAAATTCTTACTTCTTCTTTATACTGTAATAAATTCAAAAGTGTGTCTGTCGGTCTGTTACCTATTTACGTCTAAACGGCTGAACGGATGTTAAATAAATTTGATATAAATCACGAGAATTACTATAGGCTAAAAGATAACCTGTTCAATAAAACAGACAAAGTAGAGAGTAGCAGCTAACTTGTAATTAGACGGCCTCGGTGGTCTAGTTTACCACACCACCTTACTTCCAATGGTAGCGAGTTCGTTTCCTCGCAAGGTACAAACATTTGTGTGTTTGTTAGTTGAGTTGACTATGATTGTTTAGTTTGGGCTGGATGTTTTCTATGTATATTATGTATTCATTTAGAAAAAATATATTTATGTATGTACATATATCAGTTGGACATATAATACACGCTCTGCTTAGTTTGGGACAAGATGGCGCTGTGTAGAAAGTCCTAGATAATTATTATTACTTTCCTCCTCCTTCAAATAGAAGTTAAGTAACTTTAAAGTTTAAACGTAATTTATGTATATTGTAGGTTTCCTTGTGAGTAGAAAATAAAGATTATTATCATAGAAGTTGACTAATAGCAATAAATCAAAATGTATGCACAGTTTTAGGTTTTAATCATTTGTGTATGTTGTAAAAATTGTACAAATTTATATTTTTAATATTTGTTTATTTTTAATATTTAAATAGACAGATTTAAAGATTTATTGATATTTTTCAATTCATAAATTATATGATGTTTTTTTTTATTTGATTGCTCTTTGTATATGTCTCTCAATAACTCAGAAACGACTCGTACCAAACTGATTTACATTTTTTTGTACAGTCATAAAGAAAGTAAATCAGAAGTGTCATTACTAGGCATATTAGCCGCTTGTTTAAATATATTAGTGATGATGTTTAATATGAAATTGCTTGGGAATTCACTCTTGACTTCGAGTGTTAACAATAGGAAGTTGTTTCACTCTCTTCTATTAACGTAACGTAACGTTTGTTTTCACCAAATATATACATAATGCTTTAAGGTGTCAAATCCACCATATACATCTTTATTTGTGTATTTGTTCATTAAAGTTTTAATAAATAAATAATTACTAGCCGAACCGGCAAACGTTTGTGATATAAATTAATAATAGAGGCGCAACTACATCGCTTTTATCATATAAATTAGTATCTTAATTAAAAAATAGGGGTTGATGGTAGAAGGGTGAGAATTTAGGGTTAAAATATATAGACATAATATTTTAACCCTAAATTCTCACCCTTATATAAACAAAAATTGTGTGTATATATTATAAAAACAAATCAGAAAAAAAATAGAAATTGTGTATATTGTGTGTTCTGAGAATAGATATATATCAAATATCAAGTCAATCAAATCGGTTAGGCCGTTTTGGAGAAGTATGGACTATGGTAACTAACACATAACTCTCGTATCACGAGAGTTTTATGTATTAGATTTAGTTGCTTTGAAGTAGCTGTATTTAATTTTTTTGCCATTTCAAATGCATTTGAAATTACCGAAGAAGAGGCATGAAATATTAGTCCTGTGGAGACGCAACGCATGATTGGTATCATGAGTTTCACATGTGATTTTATCATCACTTGACGATGTACTGTTGTTCATGTACCTATATCATTTCAATAAAAAAAAATCGATGTCGAGACCCTTGGTCCGTGGGGTCCTAGCGCTATAAGACTTTTCAAAGAAATAACGAAAAGGTTAGTCGACATCACAGAAGACCGAAGAGCTGGCAGCTACCTTGGACAAAGAATTAGTCTAGCTATTCAAAGAGGGAACGCTGCCAGTATCTTCGGAACGTGCAACGTTCCGAAGATACTGGCAGCGTTCCCTCTTTGAATAATATATTTTAGTCATCATATTATATTTTTTTTAAGCTTTTTAATTTTAGGTTCTTAGTTGTACAATGAGGTTATGTAAATATTAGTAATAAATACGATCAAAATAAGAAAAATAAAAACTAATTTTACTTAGTCATAATCCAATTCCATAATTTAAAAACATCGTGTTGTTTTTCAAAGAAAATTATTTTTCTCTATTGTTTCCATATTAATCTTGTCACGATTTCGTTAGTGCTTTAATATATATGTTTAAATCACAGTGAAAGTAGTTTTAATTGCAATTTTCTTAATTGTATTCCTTTATTGCAGTTTACATGAAAAACTGCGACTTTCACGGTCTTAATGGTCATTGTGTAATGATCCAAGCAGATTGTAACCTCTTATCTAACAGAAATAAGTATTTTTATTGTGGTTAACCACTATAAAAATACTAAATTCTGTAAGATTGAACAAAAAAATAGAATTTAAATTCTATTTTTTTTTTTATGTTCTTAATGAATAAATTAAATTAATTAATTATATTTATTTATTAATTAATTATATTCTTAATAAATTAATTAATTATATTTCTTATGTTTTTGACATAATAGTAATAATGTTCTAGTTATCTTTTATTTTTAGATTTGACATCCTGTTGTGTCAAATCATACTATCATTTTATTTACACAATTTTTTGTAATCCAAAATAAGATTTTTTTTATAATATTGTATACACGTTATAGGAATTACAATTGCATTATTAATTATATCAAATCAATAACTATGGGTAGGATCGTCGAGGAATCGAATCCGCGACCACCGGAAGTTGTTTGTTGATAGTTTTATATGAATCTTATTAAATGATTATCCATTCTATTTAGCTACTAGAGAAGCATATATCATAGTATTAATTTGTAATGTATTTAGTTTGTTACATGGTGTTTAGAAATATTTTTTTTACATAGTAACTCTATATAGGTACACTACTTGTTGCGACCTATTTTTATACCTTATTTATTATCTATGTTTTTTATAATATTATATTGTTTTTATATGACATAAGTCATTAATACATAATTATTTTACGGCTATACCAGCGCCGTTTTCTTTTCTCGTCGTCTTGGTCTCCATCCTACACACTACTCTATATCTATACATAGTATAAAGGGAAGTCGCTTCCGCTATCTGTTCGCTTAGATTTTTTAAACTACGCAACGGATTTTAATGCAGTTTTTAACAATACATAGAGTGATTCAAGAGGAACGTTTATATGTATAATACATCCGTCCGAAACCGGGGCGGATCGCAATGAATAATTATATTCATTCAATTGTTTTTATAAACATGTTATATTTGTGTACTTGCATTAATTTTAGCATATATTTATTATACTATAGATGACTCTGTATGCGCATAAAGCTATTCTCATTTTTAGAACAAAATAATTAATTAAATTTATTTTCAGCAATAAGACCGCCTTATTGTAATTTAACATGTGTCCCTTATAATTCATATATTTTCTTTTTATCACATACAATTTACAAAAAATATATATTATATCTAATTAATTAACTTCTAAAATCTCTTTGATGTTGCATTTTGAATAAATATTGCAAAATCGACGGAAAATGTTGACTAAATTTTCTGTCGAGTACGAGATATCCGCAGTGAAAGCACAGAGCAATTAACGCGATGTTTTATGAGCGTTGGCACTGCATTTGCGATAAGGAAACCAAAATGAAAATGTAAAATAAAACAAACTGTAATTTCTTCTGGTTCTAAAAAAAACCTTATACAGTTACTCACTAAAATTGTCCAGAATTAAGTGAAGCGGGCTTACATTTGAATACAAAGCGCTCAAAATTAGTTTATGCAGAGAGCTGCTTGCAAATATGCCATGCTAAATGAATTGATATCATAGTTTCATACAAATTTTGGTGTACAGTGAAGTGAAACCTACTCTATCAAATGAATGAAAGTGCACGAAATTAAAAAAAGAACTTACATCATTTCCGAACAGTTCGCTATTGACATCCAAGATTGAAGTTAGAATAAATGCCAAAAGCACTTTCTGCCAATAAACCACCATATTAACTCAAATGCACTATTTCTAGTAGAAATCTATATTAATGTCACATTTTCTTCTACTGTTAAAGATATTTCAACTAAAATAATAATGGACAATTTTTGCTGTCATGTTATTGGCGCGCGATTTTGAATTTCGAATTGCAGGCATGTGGTTATGCCTACTGTTTATTTTTTTCGCGCAAAGGAAAATCAGCGTACAGCCTTTCCCCGTGATCTGTTCGCAGGCGGCAGACCGCGGTGTTTCGCAGCCTGCGACTGTGCGGTTTTGTGCAACTGATATGGAACAAACACGGTTAGAATGGATAGTGCTGTGATTCCATCGATGGATTTTGTCTATTGTATACAACAATAGATTTTTTTTCATTGAATAGTCTGTCTGCTGTGTGATTTTTTATGACCTAATAATTATCTACTTATAAAATATTTTTTCTAGTTGTATATATTATAATTTTATTATCTATAAAGTTATTAAAATAATTAAGTACTCATTATGTCTTTTTTTATTGTAGTATGTAAAATATTTACATACTATAATTGAGGAGCTAATTATGATGTACATTTTTTATGCATGTTGTGGTTGTACCTGTATATTATATTATTAATTAATTTCTATTTTATTAATCGCCTAATGTTTGTATGTAGCGAAGGGGTATGTAAGAAATGTTAGTAATGTGGAATAATGATCCCATTGTAATGTACCATGCCAGGTTAAACTGCACGCGTTTTCCTCTGGAAACCATCGTAATAAATTTCTAGTGAAGCTCATCTTATCAACTGGTATCTCGCCAGCGTAAACTATTAGCGCAGAAAGGGACGCATCATTCCATTATCACCCAAAAAATTGTATTTCCATATACACAATTTCTTTGGCTTCAAATTGTATATATAATTTCTATATTCATATTCATTCGGCATGTACAGAGATATTAGATGTTAAGCCACCATCTAATATCTCTGTACATGCCGAAGGTTGTCTGGGAAAGAATGCTTATGCCCTCAGTTCGCCTTTTGTACCCTATTTTGTCTGATCAGTAAAATTCATCATTGCCTTACCTTTAATCCATCATTTAGAGTCGGTCCCTATTGGCTATTATACTTGAATTTACTCTCCTTCTATACATATCTTCTATCATATCATGTCATAATCCATCCATCATTTTTTTTAGTCGTCTTCTTCCTTTACACCCACCATACTATCTTCAAATTCTTTAAATATATAAATGTAAATAAATAGATTTATATAAAAATATTTTTTTCCTGGACTCTTTTCTTCTAGACTTTTCTGCACTTAGATTATGTAGATTTATAGCTATGTCTTCAGAACAATTATTGTTCCGTAGTTATATCACAGATAACACAATACTATACTAGTAGTCTTGTCACGTCACCTCCCATTCCATGTACAGAGATATTTAAGTAGATATCTTAACACACATCTCTACAGACCTGCATCTGTGGAATATAATTAAATTTAGTGCCTTTGCGAGATTTCAGCTTCAAAAGTTATATATATTATGTAAGTGAGTTAAAACCATAAAACACTAATGAAAGTGTACTTAATGGCGTCCATAGATATGGTATTCTATGTAATCTTATTGCAAGACTAATGCCGTAGTAAATATAATTTGCATTAGTTTATATAAATAAAGTATGCTGCTGTGTCTGCGACTTCTTTCACGTGGAATACTGAATAGTGACAGTTTCATCATTCTACTCAAAAAATTAAGATATTTTTCATACAACCATTAATTTCCGCTTTCAACCCCTTACAACCCTTTTTTGCACTTAAAAATAGTGTACGTCCTTTCTCAGGTTCTAGACTATGTATGTACTAAAATCTAAATCGGTTTAGTAGATTTGCCCATATTCTTCCGTATACGCGAATATAATTTGCATTAAATAAATAATAATAAAGTCTCTTGCGCTAACGGTATACGCTGCAGGGTTACGAATGAAGTAGATTAGAACAACCATGAAATCAGTTGGTCCATCGTAGCGAAGTTAATCCCAGTCCCAGGGAGATGATGTGGAGACTGTGTGGAGGTCAGATTGAGACGATTTATTCCGGTCCCAGGGAACCGATGTGGAGACTGTGTGATCATCCTGATCTCCTGACCTCCTGACCGCCTGACCGGAGTACCCTGGGATGTCAGGTCAGGATGACCTCCACACAGTTTCCCTTGAGATCATAATACATTACTAACAATGGGATTACTAGTTCACATAACTAGCAAATAGGATTGTTTCCTTCTCACCACTAATTTACATTCCAGTGCACAATTCCACTATCACAAATTAAAATGGTAGAAAAAATATATAATTATTCAAAAGTGCTTACTGCTTATATTAAGTCTATTTGAATAAAGATTATTTCCATTCTAAAAGAATAGGAAATGAATATCACAATGCATATTAGTGTAAGAATTATACGATTTTAACTAAAACAGTGAAAACGTGTTTAGTGTAGTATGAATCAAGAGTTCCGCTTCGATTGCCTCTCTCGTTTGAGAACAAGGATTGTGTGGAGTCGTCAATTCACTGTTACTTTTACTTCCTATGCTATAGATCTACTTTATACCAGCGGTGTAGTTAAGTGGACTTTTTAAACAAATCTTTGTTAATAATAAAATGAGTAGATTAAATATATAATTTCTAAATTAATATAGACAAACAAAATATTAAATTTCCTGTTCTTAAATATTAGGTGAGATATACGTAGATATTGTATCCTTTACACTGTGAATAGTGCAGACGGCATTTGATATGTCACACATATGTGGTCCATTGTTATAACCACAGATAATATTGGTTAGACACCTTTCTCAGGAAATATATATTATTGCGGGACCTCGTGGAAAGACAATTAAATAATATGACATGAAGTATATGCAACAAATGTTTATTAATGTATAGAGCATAAATAGATTACAACCTAAAAACTATGATAATTACAATCCATATTATTCTATTTATAGTAATGTACCTTACTATTTGTGAAAGAATTTTTAAATCGGTCAATCTAAGAAATTGTTTGAATGTATTCTCATACAACCATACAAATTCATATTACTATACATATAAAGGATTTGCTCTTTGAAAATTTTTAGTTAAAAAACTATAGCATGTCCACATATTGCTGTATTCCCCGTTGAATAGTACAGATCGCATTCGATATGTCACACATGTATGGTCCATTGTTGTAGCCTTTCTCTGCAGATAACTGTCTGTATTGTTGCAATACCACGCGGAAAGTTTATTAGAAAATGTGACATTAATTTAGTTATCATTATCTAGAAAATATCGAGCATATCTAATTCATAAAAACTATAACCACGAATATTTCACCACTAGATAGTTGTGTCACTTTCTTACTAATCAAGAAAAATGAGACAAAACAGTTTAATAGCTAATATAGGTACAATTTTTTATTAACAGTAAGCTGACAGCGCCTGTTTGGTGGTAAGTGGCAACGATCAAATATTATATGTATATACATGAAGAGCGCCACGGACATCACGTCGTACAACATTTTTTTATTTCCTCATTATAGTACGTATAGATAGCATCATATACACACATTACCAACATACACACAGCCAGACAGATAAAGTTTTATTTTATAGTTACATATGTATAGATTATACGTGCAGAGACCACGAATATACCGTCTTTAATCGTATTATTACGGATAATATAAAAACTACTCACATGTTAATTAAATTTATATGAGATAATAGAGAAAGCAACAGATTTCAAATAAAACAATCTAAATCAGCCCTCAAGTGCAGGTTCTACAACAATAGACATTATTACAAAAATAGTCTAAATGAGAACCTCCTCCTTTTTGAAAGGAGGTTGAAAACTACAACTTTAGAATAATTTCACTAGCAAGCAACACGCAAGTTTCTTGCTCATTCTCCTTGGGATGAGTCTGCGCTCCGAACTCTACCATTAATTTGGGTGATCGTCCAAGATTTTATGATCCATACATTAGGTCGTGTGGACCCAAATGACTATGGTCTAATAATTCTGGAGACCCATACCATCAATTTGGGTACTCGTCCAAGATTTTCTGATTTCTTAAAACGTTAAATGACACGATATTGCTAAAGACACAAATAAAATGGGTCGTGTGGATCCAAATAACTGTGGTCTAATAATTCTGGAGACTCTACCATTAATTTGGGTGATCGTCCAAGATTTTCTGATCCATACATTAGATCGTGTGGACCCAAATAACTATGGTCTAATAATTCTGGAGACCATACCATCAATTTGGGTGCTCGTCCAAGATTTTCTAAGCTGTTAACACGTTAAACGACTCGATTGTTGGGTACACATGACGCCTTGTGGGGTGCCCGACCATGACCGTGTACCGTAAGCCTTTTGTCTCCATTTTATTATCATTACACTAATTGTATCCAGGAATGCATTCATTAGCACCGAATAACTGTGCGGCTTTGTTTTAGGTTAGGTCACTGGGTCGTTAATAGAATTTGGGTTTAGACTGAGTTGAGAGGGCTAAACTTGCTACAATAATTTGAATATATTCTATATTTATTATTATTTATTCCTCTTAAGTTCTCTAAATTATTCGATATTATAATTTAGAGCAGAGGTTCCACAAACTTTTTTGTGTTCTAGACTCCTTGCCATATTTTTCGGTTTACGGTAGACCCCCCATACTTACCTGGTACTGATTTTTTGTAAATTTCTAACTGTAGTAAAGTTTAGTGTTAAAAACATAAAGTAAAAACAACAAGATGATCGCTGTCGTAGACCCCTTTTAGTTTGTTATAGACTCCTGGCGTCGGAATAGACCACTTTGGGAATCACTGATTTAGAGCTTTGGTTGAAAGGACTAAGTTTGCTGAAATAATTTGAGTTGGTATCTTCTTTATTTTTTTTTATTTATTAATTAATTTACGTTCTCAATATTCGGATAATTAAGTATTATAATTTAGAGTTTTAGTTGAAATGGCTAAGGTTACTTACTAAAATAACTTTATTTTATTTCTTACAATTATTTATTTTATACTCTCGAAATTCACACATCTTTATTTAACTATTTCCTGTATCTGTCTGTAATAACTTAAACACAATATTATATGTATTTGATATTGTAGCTTTTTGCATTGTGGTATCTATATATATTTGACAGTAGATTTTAGGCACGAAGGCTGTGTTGTAGATTAATATATAATAAAAGAATAATCTTGAATAATTCATACATCGCCGTTTATTCCCAAACTAAAGCAGATCTAGTATTGTGGTAAATATATATAGAAACGCCCAGACAATATATACAATCAAACTCAAAAATACAAATGTTTGCACACATGACTCGAATTAGCTACCAAGGAAGTAAAGTTATGTGTTAAACCACTAGACTACCGATTGTTGATTTAATCACAAATAGATAGACTACAGATTTGAAGAAGTTATATATGTATAATTCATTTATAAAATCATTAAATAGTTGCGAATACATGTTGCGTAGATATTAGTTATATTAATTTACAGTACAGCAATCAATGTAACGATTAAAAGTAATGTATAATTAATAAATCACGGGACCTTACGACGTTTTATTTTTTATTGATATTTCGGTCCCGATATTTCGGCAGTGTTTCAACTGCCATGATGACGGGTAAACTGAAGAGCAGCGGGTAGATAAAAAATTTTATGGGCAGACATATTCGTCTACCTTCACACGTCTCCGTTTGTTGCTACTATTGAGACAGTATACAAAAGTAACTTATTCCAAACGCATATTACATAAGTAATGCTCCAAATGAAATTGTAAGTGATCACGCAATGACTAAAAAAATTTCACCCGAAACAAAACTTTCAATTGTTTTCGAGAAACTTCCTATAACGTTTGAATACAAATATAGAGTTTTACACGAGATGGACGGACGGACGCGTCCCGAATTAATATATATTGTTTGTTATTTCACATTTTATACAGTGAAAGTGTTAGAGGGCGTACGCGTCGCTCTAATTGTTATACCTACTTTCATTTTGTTAATGTCTAAATACACATTGTTAAGTGAATTAATGTAAACAAATACAACAATAAGAGACAACGTCAATGGTCTGGTGGAGAGCATAACTCGTTTCTTTCTATGGTCGCGGGTTCGATTTAAACATTAATATTCATGAGAATGATTGTTTCTATTTGTGTGTTTTCTATATATTATGTATTTGCAAAAAAATGTGCCGCCTGGTTCAAGTCGTCCTTCGTGCATGACGCTGGTCACAAAAGGTACGACAGAAGGTGGGACATGGTTTTCGATGAAGCCCCACAGCTGCAAGCCTCATTAGTACTTATCTATTAGTCTATATTAATTTAATAAGTTTAAATTACTTAGAGTTCTTAAGGGTTGGTAACGCGCATATGACACCCCTGGTGTTTCAGGCGTCCATAGGCTACGGTAACCGTTTACCGTCAGATGGGCCGTATGCTTGTTTGCCACCTACGTGGTATAAAAAAAAGTAAACCGGCGTTTTAATACTCCCTGATCATTATGTAGTAGCAAATATTATTATCAGCAATATTGCCGCATTATAAATACAGGGGCACTCCTGTCATAAATTCGATCTATCTACAAATAAACTGATGTTTATCAATTTATAATTTTTTAATCAAAGAAGCGGTGCTAGGCATTTGCGTTTGATTCTATATATCCCACGACATAACGCGAAGTACCCAATCTAGAATAATCTAATATAATCATTAAATGCAACCCATTTATACATATATAACATATATATATTTATCTGTTATACTTAGACTTATACAATACTAGCTGTTACTTGTCTGCATGAATATTAGCATTTATTCCATCTCCTAGATATTTTTTTGAGATAATATATATAACCATCCTGCTGACAATCTATATATCTTCACATCAATTTCATTAGGATTCAGTCATTTAGTCGAGTAAAATTAACAAACCGACAGAAAAACATTTTTGTCATTATAATGTATTTCTATACATTATAATGACGAAAATGTTTTGATGTGAAAATGAAAATGTGATCGAAATAGTGTTCTTATAAATTCTGATATTACTACAATAGTTTCAAGTAAATAATTATTAGAAATAACTTTATTTGAATAAATTAATTTGTAAAATAATATTCAGTGAGTAAAAAGATGGCTGATCAATAAGTGTTTTTACTCTGTTGATGAGTACTTTAATTCATGAAGTAGGTAATCGTAGTACTTTGCCCAGAAATTTAAATTTAGTTTAATAATGATGAAAATAAAAATGAAACTGAGAAATATGTATAATCTTATAATAATAAATGGACACTATTAATTTTTGCATGCCAGTTTCTGGTGAAAAGTGTGATACATAAATTATAATTTTTAAAATCCTGTAAACCACCAAATAAAGATATTTGTATTTGTATTTGAGAATTAGTAATTAATTTATTAAATAAATGAGTTTGCGTAAATAAATATTATAATCGAGGTTTATATTTAGCTCCATTTACTTGTAACTTCACATCATAACCTGGCCGTAGACACCATGACCTTTTACTCCTGAAATAAGGAAAGCAGAAATATAATTTTGAACTGAACTTTGTACGATTTTATTGAGAATCGAAGTGTTCTTAAAAAGTTACATATTTTTATTATTAAACATATAATTGTATACCTAATATTGTTACTATAAAATGGAAATTTAGTAACAATGCATTGTTTGTGTTATAAATTAACCTAAACATAAACTGTTAATAATTATGATGTCATACTATCATCAGAAATGTTATTATCTTATTTAGGGATATTCGATATTAAAAAAACATCGATGTCGACATGTCTACACAGAAGTACCGATGTCGATAAATTTCTAATAAAAACATCGATGAAACATGGTTCGGCTTATAACTATCGATATCGATAAACTTCGGCTCCCATTGATCACTCCCCCGTCCAAGTCAAACGAGGATCGAAATTAGGATGGCCTGAGCCGAGGCTTGAACTGATATGCCCTTAAACTGAAGTCGTATTTGTCAGGCAGTTGGCCTTCAGTCGCTTCCTCCTGAGATTCCTCCACATTTTTTGATACTATCTGCATTCGGCCCCTATCATTTGGCGAGGATATAAGGGCATTAGAGTACTTCGATAAAATGACATTTTACATTTCGAATGACCCTTTTTTTAGGTCTTAAATCAGATCTGAGATTAATTGAATGACAATCGTGCATAGCAGTAGTTGTCCATGCATAAGATTTTCATTTAAGGTTAGACATAGACACCTGTATACATATTCATTGTAAATAAAGTGGCTTTTTAAAAAAAAATATTCAATTGAGTTTCTTGCCAGTTCTTTTCAATTGGATCTATATACTGACTGGACGGTAGGGAAAAATTATAATATACGAAATTTGACATTTATAAACGGCTAAAATGTCCTAAATGAATAAATGATTCTTGAATTTGAATTTTAATTTGATCTTATATGTATATACCGTCCTTTCATTTTACGTTTTAAATTACTTTCTTCAGATTATCATATATCCGTTAGTATTTCAAATAACCTTTTTTGATTATATTGTCGATTATTTAATATCGATATATCCATGTTCTCGAAGACATCGATGAATCGATCATTCCTAATCTCGCCGGGCATCGAACCCGTAGTGCAACACATGGCAAGTCCGCAATAATTGAATTCGCAGACACCAGCTGTGTTTATGTGTAAAGTGCATTGTACTATTCATATTCTGCTTAATAACTCTTTTATTAAAGACGCTTGCTGTTATACCATTCATGAAAACGATAAAATAAAACTAATTTTAGATACTGAACTATTTTATGCTTTGAATCGAATTTGTTGTTATTTTGCGGAAGTCCTTTTCATTACTTAGTGTATTTATATGATTTTGTTTAATTCCTATACCATTAGCATGTGCGAGACCACAATTTCTATATTATTAATATATATTTCTATAATATTATTACACAGAATATTTGTGGTCTCACACATGCAAAAGGTAGCAAAATTGGTGGTCGCCAAATGGTCGAAATAAGACCAAAATAAAAAATAGGTAAAAATATTTGAACCAGCAATAACAATAAACAAATATATAATAAGTAGATGTGCGTATAATGTTTTTTTTTTATAGATTTAATGTATCATTTATTCATAATTTAAAAAAATATTAGCATTCTGAAAACATAAACTATTGCAACGTCACACGATTATTGAATTAACCTTAAAAGGTGTTATTCGCGAAAACTTTTAAAGGAAAACAATTCCGTCACACGTATTATTTTTGTAACTTTAGCTGTTTACGCAACCTAAGTAGCGGAAACTCTCAAAATGATTTTTTTTTTGCCAAATTTTTTATTACTCCTCCGCTCCTATTAGTCGTAGCGTGATATTATATAGCCTATATAGTATTCGAGTATAATACACCTTTCTAACCGTGAAAGAATTTTTAAAATCGGTCAGCAGAACCGGAGATTAAATCGATCAAACAAAATTTACCTCTTTAGTAGACACAGATAAGATTTTAGATTACACAGTATTACTATGTAATATTCTTTTATCTGTGGTATTAGATAGCCCATTTATTAAAAAAGGCTACATAACATCATGCTACGAACCATTAGAGCAGAGTATAAATAAAAAAAAAATCAAAAATGCGCAAGCGCACTAGTAAATATGTATAATATATTTTTTTTATAGCATACAGGACAAATAAGTTTGCGGCTCATTTGATAGTAAGTAACTATGAGCAGGTGCTCATGTGTACTTATGTACCATCATCAACCGGCAACGCACTTGCAATTCCCCTAGAATTGCAAGTGCGTTGCCGGCCCCTTAAGAAGGAATATACTCAATCTTGAAGGTTTTAATACCGTATTGGTTCGGAAATACCATTTCATATGTTGTCTATATATGTATAAATAATATTTACCTAAGAAACATATCCAGATCTCTCCTGCTGCAGGTGGACCAAGTCTTCGGGTGGTTGTGTGGGTTGTACTTAGGAGTCATTATATGTTTGTTGTGTCGACAGCTACGTGATTGACCATCATGTGATATACCAAGACTAGAAATGAGATATTTTTTTTATTATTACAAAATTTGAACGCGTTTGACCGCAATCTCACCTGATGGTAAGTGATTATGTGGTCTATGCTGTTTATTTTTTATGGAGGATAATGGAATTGTGCACCAGCCTCTTTTAGCGGTGTACACTGGCGGGTCACCATTGGAGAATGATAAGATGAACATGAGATCAGGTTAGTTAGTCCATTGTGACAAATTCACCAGAATTTTATGATGATGGTTTCCAGGGGGAAGCGCGTGGAGGTCAACCTGACATGGTACATTGGTAGTAATGGTATCATCAGTCCACATTACTGATAATGCTCTTTGCTGCTGCTGTAAAGCTTTGCTGTAAGCTGTTACACCCAAGCTCAAATAGTCCCTATTCACTCCTGACTGAAAGACCCAATGTCATAAGAGGCAGGAAACACTAACGCTGGAAGAGTTGCACGCCTTAGCTGCTCGCTTAAGGAAAGATAATGCAAATGTGATAATGGTTGGGATTCCTGCTGTTTTGAAATGAAATGAATATTTATTGCTTAAAATGTGGTACATGTGTCGTTTTTAAGATCTTTAGAACTAGTTTCACATATTTTGTCATTTCTGACATGCAACAGACAAAACAGATGTCAATTTTGGTTATTATTCGTTAGTCAATATTAAGTACGTACATTATTTATAATATGAGTATGTCAACTTCGTATTAATGAAATATTTATAAATTATACATGTCAATGTTTTTAATTAAGTAAGTACTCCTGAACACTGTAGTAAGATTTGCTGATTAGCCATCTATGTAGTTCTTTCTTGAATTTATTTCGTAAATACAATTTCACTTGGCAATTTATTATATATTTTAATCGCCATGGCGAGACAGTTTGAACTGCATAATGACGTCTTTATAGATGGTAACATCAATTTGTCTAAGTGTTTTGTACTGTATTTACTAGGAATAACTATATGTATTTACTTGTCTCCGTTTGAACAGTTCAGGATGCAGTCTTACAAACTGGCATATTTCATAGATATACATACAAGGCAAAGTCAATATAAAACAATGGCTTACAACTTGTTCTATATATATAAATATATATATATTTTTTTGACAGACAAAGGCTCTGTTTATTTCTACAGAGTTACCCCACAAAATCAATCCATATCTTAGTCTGGAAGCAACATAGCCGTATATATATAGTTTGTTTGCCATGTTAACTGTATATGGGTAGAGCCGCTATCTACATCTTATTGTACCATGGTAGAACGATACTGGTTCGATCATCGAAATTAAAGCGAAGTGCTACGCTTTAATTTCGATGATCGTGTTTTTTTCCTTACATAATTAAAGCTTAGTAATTATTATTAAAAATGAACTGTGTTATCTGATAATAAATTATTATTATTATTACCTGTGTCCAATCTCATGAGCTAGTAAATAGTCCAGGTTCTTTGGTTTCCATTCAAGTAAAGTACAACTGTTGTATATACTGCACACACTCCGCATATAACTGCGACCTGTATTAAGATATAAAAGAAGATATAGTGCCTATACATATATTTTGCGCAGCATCCAACAGAATATCAGCGCTGCAGATTTATTTGTAGCTTTATGCTGAATTGGTTGCCACTGTAATTTCATTGTCTTATCTCACATTCGGTTGTAGAGTTAGGTAAGGCAGTGAAATCACACCCATTTAATCTATACTAATGAATAAAATTGGGGTGTCTGTTTGTAATATTGAAATAACCATTTTTTACTACATGCATATGAATATAAATACGATACATACACCAAAATAATACTTTTTACAATTTTTGTCTGTCTGTCTGTTTGTTCCGGCTAATCTCTGAAATGGCTAGACTGATTTTAACGGGATTTTCATTGGTAGGTAGCTGAACTCCACGCGGACAAAGTCGCGGGTACAGATAGTACATAATATATAACAATACCTGTGCTGCTTCTCATAATTCTACCATTGTGTGTATAGTAAAGATCTAGTCCTGTCAACAATACAGAATAATACCATTTCTTCTTCAGAATCTTCATCTGCCCTTGCCATTTGCAGTAGTTTAGCAGATAGTTCGATGCGTTCCCGTCCATTGTAATTTTCTTCATCTTACTGCCCAAAAACCTTGTATCCAATAACTTAAATTTCAATACTTGGTTCAAGTTGGCTCTTTTGAATATTCTTTCCACTTCTTTCAGTAAACGTTTTGATATGTCTTTCATGTTATTTCTTATTTTTGTCTTATATTCTTTTATCAATATTTTGAACAGTGCTTTGTCTATATGTATCATTACTGGTACAGTTATGTTTTGTGATTGTTTCGTAATGTATTTCATTGAGGAATCCTTCTTGGTATGTTTCTGTAAAAATTAACACCAATTGTTAATCTATACATATAAATAAAATTGGAGTGTCTGTTTGTAATATTAAAATAACCGTTTTTTACTACATGCATATGAATATAAATACGATACATACATCAAAATAATACTTTTTACAATTTTTGTCTGTCTGTCTGTATGTCTGTTTGTTCCGGCTAATCTCTGAAATGGCTAGACCGATTTTGACGGGACTTTTATTGGCAGGTAACTGATGTAATAATGATTTGGCTACTTTTGTTTTAGAAAAATAAAGTTAATTTCCACGAGGACGAAGTCGCGGGTACAGCTAGTATTATATAAACGTGATATTTACCATGATAGTATAAGTAATGAATATACTATAGTTAACATTATGATTTCTTTAGCATTTCAATAAATAAAAACAAAATATCTTTTTTCATATAAGTATATTACAGACTTTTAATGATATGTCAAAACTATCGTCAGTTCATTGGTCAAAGAGAGTCTTTAAATCTATTCAAATAAGTAAAATTGAAGTGTGTGTTTGCCTTTTTTAATTAAGAGCTTTTCACTAAGTGCATATGTAAGTATATACGGTACTTAAATATTAAATAAACAACTCTTTTGTGTTGTTTTTGCTAATCTTTGAAATGGTTGGACCAATTTTTATGGGTATTTTACTCGCATATAGCTAATGTTCTAAGAAGTAACATAGAATGTTTTTACTTTTGATATTTGACATAATAAGTTTAATTCCTCGCAGATAAAGTCCGTTTGTCTGTATGTTCTTGCTAATCTCTGAAACGAATTTAACGTGAATTTCACTCGCAGACTGCTAATATTATAATGAGAAATATAGGATATAGGATACTTTTACTTTAAATATTTGAATACTATGATAAAAAAAAGTTCTCGAACGATTTCCTTTCATGTAATTGAATGAGAATTTTCTCTAATATTGGCATATTATGCGAGGACGTGTAGAAATTTCTAGAACACAGTCCCTATAAATTCTATTAAGCAACCGAAGATTGAATAATTTACTGAAAGGTTACACTAACAATTTAGATTATTGATTGCAAAATAGTGATCGACATCTAAACTTCCCAGACACATTCCACAAAGGTCAGAGTGGGTACCTCCGTTGCATTGAAATTCTGCACACGCAACTAGTTTTACAGGCTGTGATCCGGTTTCAATGTTGAGATATGGCAGTGAAATTGTACTGTACGCTGCCAAAACATATTAATCAGACAACGTAATCATTTTACAGTATGTAGGTGATAGTATGTAGATTTTTATTAAATCTAGACACGCGGTAACGTGTCAAGCCGAGTTTCAAGTACTGGCGAGCAGCACCGTGTGTATATTTACACGAACTATTTGGAGCCACTTTTGACCCCCTCATAACTCAATACTGTAGCCTAAGGTCTAACTTGGCTAGTTTTCATATACGAAATATACTGTAGCCTTCGCAAGTTCTAAACATGTTACTTGTCGGTTCCTATTTTATTATTAGTAGTAACTAGCAATCGAAAGTAATAATTGGTATATGAGAACTGGCTAAGTCAGACCTTAGGCTACAGTATATTATCCTAAGTTATAAGAAGAAAATATATTTTATATTGTTATAAATACATTTTAGGACAGACCATTGAACTTGGCACTCATTTAGATCTCACCTCTTTTGTCGTAGAAGTCTACAATCAAGGCATATATCATAATATTAAACTCGGCTATCATTTCACATTTATGTTTTTGATGGGATTATTATTTACACAATTTCACCCATTCAACACTTCCTATACCACGCTGTATTGGGTTGACTGGAAGAGATCTCTTTTATAGATAAGTCCTCCTTTTTTAACATTATTTCATGTATTTAAGTGCAATAAAAAATATGTAATAGTAACAACCGTCATTAGACAGATCAATAAAAATAGGTCCTTTAAAAAAACAGATACCATTAGAGAAACAGGCGTTATGAAGAAAGAATCTTGAATTTATTTTTAAAGTGAATTAAAATCAATAAAATCATATCAGATTTTTTTTATTAATTTATAACATTTTAGCCGCGTATGAACGGATAAAATTCCCTACATGAATAAATGATTTTTGAATTTGAATTTACTTTATACCGGTGTACACATACACCTTCCACTCGAATATATCTATCTATTACTATAAACTGCATAAAATCCGTTGCTTAGTAAAAAGATCTAAGCGAACAGACAGCGGATACGACTTTATTTTATACTATATAATGATATAGTATAATCTATATCATTATATAGTATATTTTATTTTATACTATATATGTAATATATATCTTTACATTTACCGCCATTTTAAATTGGATCTAATAGAATATCTTTCTAATAGCAAATTGTTACGGAACTCAGTTGTACAAACATTACTCATACTTATTAACACGACGTTGTCTACACTGTTGGCAGGGTCAAGTCTATGATGACGAATTTTTAAACTGAATAACAGATTTTAACGAACACTTTACATAAATGTTTTATGACAAAGTTAAGATTTAATGCGTGACTAAAAAATGATACCAAATCTTCCCTTTATGGTACTAATATATCACTAGCTTTTTCCCGCGGCTTCGCTTGCGATTATTTATCCTCTTAGGGGTGGAATTTATCAAAATACTTTCTTAGGGGACGCCTACGTCATAGTAGCTTTATGTATGTAAAGTCTCAGCCCGATCGGTTTAAAATTGACAAAGTTTCATACAAACTTTTATCCCCTATTTTATTCCCTTGGGGGTAGAATTAATCAAAATCCTTTCTTAGCGGATGCCTATGTCATAACATCTACCTGCATGCCAAATTTCAACCCGATCCGACCAGTGGTGTGGGCTGTGCGTTGATAGATCACTATGTCAGTCACCTTTGAGTTATATATATTTAGATTTATACAAAATTAAAATATATCATTATATAGTATAAAAAAAAAGTCTCGTCTGTCCGTGCCTATGTATGCTTAAATCTTTAAAACTACGCGACGGATTATGAAGCGGTTTTTTTTAATAGATAGAGTGATTCAAGAAACAGATTTTTATATGTATAATACCTGCACACCCGGGTGAAGCCGGGGCGAATAGTTTAATTATAATTCCTTAAATGTGCTTTTACTTTAGCTTAGACGCCAAGGTAGTTTAGCGGTTTAGCACGGCCTACTTCTGATGGTTGCAGGTTCTGTGTAAATTAGGGTAAAATCGGTCGGTATATAAATTATCCTAGGATATTATTTATGCAATGCAATGAAGATTGATAAACAGTACAACATAACAATTTTGGCTCTAATTAAAAAAAAGACAAGTTTATATAAAACCGACGTGAAAAAAATTATTGTAACCAAACAGAAAAAGTTTTTCAGTATCTAATAGCTATGCTAATAGTCTTATTACATCCACAGACGTTCTTTAGCCCTCATTTACAAAAATTAAAAACTATTAAAGGAAATTAAATACAATACATATTATGTACGTATTTACAATTTGTTTTTATGTATTTTTATTTGTAGTTCAATACCCAAATTAACCTTGTAGGTTAATTTAAGATTAGATGGTGTTCTGTGTATTATAACACACACATCCTGTTTTGTCACATTCATTCAAGTTAAGAAAATAGCGCGATAGACAAAGAGAAAATATAACTCAATAACTATTATTTGATTCTTGGCCGTTATATAAATAACGGTATATAAGTTTAGTAAGTAATGATGTAATTAGAAACATAAACATAAACATATATTAACCTATATTTATTCAAGTAAATATACCTATATTTAATCAAATAAAATATGTATATGTATAGGTTTAAAATTAACGTATTTCTAAGATAGACATAATAAATACAACTGCAATACTTTTTATAGTAAGTTTAAAATAAATCAATATTCACTACTACCAATAAATTGTAAAAATATCAAAGTATTATTTTACAAGAATAATTCATTATATAGTATAAAAATAATATAACACACAAACACAGACACATATATATTGTGTATAGTTACAATTTTTTTTTATTTATTATAATATTTTTTTTTATAAATAAAACTTCAACTTACAACGAAATTGCCATATCTGAAAATTAGCACTAAACACAACAACACAAAAAACAGTTTCATATCAACTAACGTACACTAACAGTGCTTAAATGGTACTAAGCTTCGAGCTAGATCTATGGTGCAAAACTGTCTAGACACTATGCATTTCACCCGACATCGTTTGTGCATTTGCAATATAATTGTATCACGGTAAAACTCCAGTATTATCGAATTTGTAATAAGAAAACATGACTTTATCTGTAATGATATTATAAATAATATATTAAATTGATTGTATGTTTATAATTAATATATACAAGGAATAATGAAGCGATTTTATAAAGTATTTCACCTATAAATAGCAAAGTAAGTCAATTTTATTTCCTGTGTACAACAGTATGGAATTCAGCTAATTCAATAGAAAACTCTTTATTCAAATAAACTTACATTTAAGCACTTTTGAATAGTCATACATATATTTTTTAAGCACCACATTTTTTAAAAGCTGTTTCATCACAAGAAGAATGTGCAAGAAACTTGCGTGTTGCTCTTTTAAATAATTGTTGTAACATTCTATTTTTAAATTAAAATGTGGGAATACAAAAATAGTGTACTGAACTCAATGAATGGTCTAGATCGGGTCGGTTTAGCACATCACTTTATTTCCGATGGTCCTGGGTTAGATTCCTCACACGATGCAAATATTTATAATCATGAGTATAATTGCAATGTATATTATATATGTCTTTATTAATAAATTGCATGTAGATGTGTCCATCTGTTGTCTAGTACCCATAACACAGGCTGTCCTTAGCTTGGGACCAGATGGCTGTGGGAATTGTCCATCGTTATTCCTTTTTCTTATTTATGTACGAAATGGGATGATGTATCCATATTTTATTTGATAAATATTTATATGGTGCACTCATCTGCACTGACGATTTACGGCACCAGTGAAAAATGATAGGATGAGCATGAAGTTAGCTCAGTCATACCATACTGTCAAATTTACTACGAGGGTTTTAAGAGGGACAGTGTAATGGTATATCAGACACTGCTACCAATGGTCCCACAAGTCTCCATTACTAGTAACCTCATTTACCCTCCTTTAAAGAGGGAATAGTTATGTTTTCGTACCAACTATGTAATTATATATTGAAAAAACTGTGCCAGCGGTTTCTTCCGCGATAAATTTCTGTGTATAAATTTCATTAAAAAGTATAACTGATATGTTATTCTGATGCGTCAGCTATATTACTGTAAAGTTCCATCAATATCCGTTCACTAGATTTTGCGTGAAAGAGTAACAAACATTCATACTTACAAACTTACTATATAATATTATTAAGATGTACAAACTGACAGAACAAAGTTTGTTATAGCGTATTAAGTCTGTATATTGGTCATATAACTGTACTAATATAGCTAATGTATAATGATAGGTAGGTAGACGCTGTAGGCTAAATAAAAGCTTATTACTGTACTACAATACTCACTTGTAGTATAATCTTTACATTGTATACAATGAAATCGCTTCCGTCGTCTGTTCGCTTAGATCTTTTAAACTACGCAACGGATTTTAATGTCGTTTTTAGCAATAGATAGAGTGATTCAAGAGGATGGGTTATATGTACTCGTATAATACAATACACCAGTGAGAAATTGGGATGGGGCTAATAAATATATAAAGCAAATGTTCATATATATTTGGTACTATAAATGGTGATATATTATGTGTTTTCAGATATCAGAAAACAGTTTTTTATTGAATTACAATTATGGATTCGGTGGTCTTGCGGTTTAAGACACGGCTTGACGCCTCATGGTTGCGGATTCGATTCCTTGCACGGTACAAACTTTTGTATTTATGATTGTGATTGTTATATCGGTCTGGGTGTTTTCTGTGTATATTAAGTATGTATTTAGAAAATATTTATTTGTGAATTTTTATCAGTTATATAGTACCCATAACATAAGTTCTGCTAAATTTAGGACTATGTGGCATTGTATGAGTTGTTCAGGGATATTATAAATATTTGTACGAATATGTGCAGCAAATACTATCTTTGTAACGAGGAATAGGTAATTATTTCAAAGTTTTATATTTGTGTCGTTGTGAACCTGACCTTATGTTCTAAGAAATGTTTAATATCTCCTCTGTGAGATTGGAAATGATGTAAGCTTTAAGGAGCATGCCTATTGCAATAGGTGACGTATACAATAGGGGAGGGGATTGTAGTAATGGGTAAAATTCTTTCTCTTCTCTTCATTACATAGTATAAAATAAAGACGCTGTCGCTGTCTGTCCGTCCCTATGTATGATTTAATCTTTAAAACTACACAACGGATTTTGAAGCGGTTTTTTAATAGATAAAGTTATTCAAGAGGAAGGTTTATATATATATATATATATATATATATCCATTTTAGCGAATGTACTCAAGAACTGCACAACCTCATTCCTCCAGCACCGTTCCATCAACGTACAAAAAGACAGAGAGCGGCTCCACCCATAGACTGCTGACATCCCAGCGGCTCGCGCCAACCGTTTTGCATCATCTTTCCTTATGCGAGCAGCTAAGGAGTGGAACTCTCTACTAGCGTCTATTTTTACTGCCTCTTACAACATTGGGTCTTTCAAGTCAAGAGTGAATAAGCACTATTTGAGCTTATAGCATGCATCCTTATGTAAAGTGCGAATACTGTAACTACCATATAGTAATTTTTGTAGCTGTGACGTGGTCGTGTGGAATGAGTAGTCATGCTCACTAAAATGTCCAGACATGTGGCGGCGTGGTGGGCCGGGTCAATGGGCTCCCTAAAATATGGTCGAGCGCAGTGATGGCTGGCTCATCCGTCATACTCGTGAACGGATGCTGCTTGTAGGGACTGGTCTGCTCTTATCACTACGACCTGATGTAATCTTATTGCATGATTATATTTGACCCAAAAAATTAGTGCTTGTTGGTAGTTTGTATTCACACGTTTCGACTTGTAAATGTAAACTTACAAGGATTATTTAAAAGAGCAACACACAAGTTTCTTGCTCGTTCTTCTTGTGATGAGACATTTTCCGAACGAGTGGTAGATAAAAAACAAATTGTTATGACTATTCAAAAGTGCTTAAATTAAGTTTATTTGAATAAATGATTTTCTATTCTATTCTATTCTTGCGTCTAACAGCTTAGACCACGCCGTCACTTAACATCAGGTGAGATTGCAGTCAAACGCGCTCAAATTTTAATATATAATACAGGTACACCCGTGCGAAGCAGGAGCGAGTAGCTAGTTCAGTATAAACTAGTCCACTGCTAGACGTATGCCTCTAATATAATTTTCCACTTAGTTCTATCTGTGGCGCATCTTGTCCAGGCCGGCTCTGCCGTCTTCCTGATGCCATCAGACCATCTGGGTATCTGGTACCATAGTAATGGGTACTATTGGCCCCAATGGTGGTGACTAGTACAGTCTCCAGTTCCTCAATCCTTATGTATAATTAGGATCATGGAATCTTACCACTTTTTAGTTATTTTTATTGAGGTATTTCGGCAGTTTCAGCCGCGGATCACGGGTAAACTGAAGAAGAGCGGATAGATGGTAAATAAAATCTTTTATAGGCAGACATAACGTCCTCTTTTACATGTCTTCGTTTGTTGTTACTATTGAAACTAAATTTACTAGTAAAACTCAACCCAATGGGTCTATATTTATTCTTCATTCGCATATTATTTTAATTCATGATGAAATAAATAAAATAGTACCACTTCAGGACTCTTATCCTAGAATGTCACAGATGGGGTAGGCACATACATTTAAATATTTGACTTCCCTCGTTGTGAACGCAACGCTTGACATGGCAAAATTTTTCCCCTAAGGGGGAGCAAGAGGATTGTTAAAAATGTGGACTGATGATCTTAATGCTAGCAATATACCATGTCAGGTTGACTTCCACGCGGTTCCGTCTGGAAACCATCGTGATAAATTCTTAATGAAATTGTCACGACGGGCACTGACTTAATCTGATGCTCATTTTATCATCCTCCAATGGTAATGGTAAACGGTTAGCGCAGGTGGGTGCACCATTCCATTAAAATCCATAAAAAAAATTACCTATAACAGAAACTCTCCTTGGAACTAGATGGCAGTGTGTGAATTTTCCAGGGATATTATTATTGTTATATGGTATACATTGGGGGGCCACTGTTACATGATGATAAAATGAAGACGACGTCAGATCAGTCAGCCCAGTGTTAGTGGTAGCTAGTTACCAGCAATTAGCCATAATGCTTTCCACACGGTTTCTGCGTGGAGATCCACCTGTTAGGGTATATAAAGTTACTTATAGCTTTGAATATAATTACATTGCTCCCGACTGTTCATCGCCCGCTTCAATATGAATACTCCTTTACAATTACCTACTTTAAATATTGCAATGAATATTTATTGAACCGTGACCGAATATGAGGTAATAAACGTTGTCATAAAGACATACATGTATATATATGTATGTATATACATTATAGAACATAATTGCAGACAATCAGTTCAATTGATATAGCAGAGAAGTAGTTTTTCAGGACACACAGGGCAGATAGATACATAAATTGACATACGTTTTTTTATATATCGGCCAGATTTGAACTCACGACCTCTTAGGTATAATTCAGGGTCTACTGACCACTGACCGCGACGCTCTCTATTTTTATAAGCATGTGTGGAAATTTGAACTTAGAATGATTGTGTCTTATGATATCTATGAATACGGTTACCTACTGAAAAAAATTACACACCTTTGATGTAGCATACGAAAGTCAACAAAAAATTGTAAACATCTTATGACCTGTATTTGTAAATGAAATATTTATTACTATATGTGCCCATGGTTTAACTCGCGTTAAAATTCAGTAAAAAATGTGTTATTCAGATGCATAAGCTATAATATAAAGTTTCGTCAAAATCCTTTCAGTAGTTTTTGCGTGAAAGAGTAACAAACATCCATACTTACAAACTTTCACATTGTTAAATAATAATAAGATTAAGATTATCAACAAGTTCATACCTTCTACCCGTAACCTAACCCTCGTATTATCCATCCTGCCTTGTCATTCCAGAGAAGTAAGTTCATACCTTCTTACCCTGTAATTTCACTGCCTTAGACAGGTATCCCACTCTTTAGACAGGTATTAAGCTTGACTGTAGAAATAGTCAGACGAACAATATGGAATCATCCATATTGTTCGTCTGACTCATTTACGATCATTTTAGAACAAATAATTTTATACCTACCTGCTCTCTTATAGTGCATTGTTATTTCACAGGAAAATAAATTTCAGAGAATTAACTAAAATGTATTCACATTGTTTATTGTTTCTTCTTACCAACCTAAAGTAAGTATTATTAGAGCTGTTATTTAAATTGCATATCCTTGTTTGGAAGGTGTTATTATTAATACTAGGTATTACTGACTGTTTGTTACAACCTCTGTGTAGATATATACTAATACTAGCTGTGTCCGCGACTTCGTCTGCGTGGAATAATGTTCTTGACCAAATAAACAAAAAAGAAATATTTTCTACGGGTATTTTATTTTACACCCTTAAGAACAAAATTTTGATAAATTTCTATAACAATCAACAGCCTAAAAATAAGTTTCAAGCTTCTAGGTTTAAAAATGACTATACTTTCATACAACATTTCATTTCCCCTTTCAGCCCTTTAGAACCCTTTTTTCGCGTTAAATTTAATACATAGATAGCTAAACCAATTGTGTATCAAATTTCATCTAAATTGGTTCAGTAATTTTGGCGTGAAAGCGCGTCAGATAGTTACAGACAAAGTTACTTTCGCATTTATAATGTGAGTAAGAATTATAATAAGGAAAGATGTGATTGTCTTGTTTATTTGCTTGGAATAGGCGTTGTAACTGGACCGATTTGAAGAATTGCGCTACCATTAGGATCTCACATTATTCATGTTGAACATAGGCGATAGAATATTTTGAAAAACTTCAGGGATCCGTACGAAAATATTGCAATCCAACGTATGAAAAAAACACCAAATCCTTACATCGCGTACGTTGTGGAAATTATTGTCAATAGAGCAAAATCATATATTATAGTGAACATTAATATGTCGGTGTATGTTTTGAATATAATATAGTAGATAAATAGAGTAAGTTTGGGCACATGTATCCCTACATATAAATAAAATTGTAGTGTCTGTTTGTAATATTTATATAACCGTTTTTTTACTACATGCATATGTATATAATACGGTACATATACGAAAATAACATTTTATTAAATTTTTGTCTGTCTGTCTGTCGGTCTGTTTGTTCCGGCTAATCTCTGAAATCGTTGGACCGATTTTGACGGGACTTTTTTTGGCAGGTAGCTGATGTAATAAGAAGTAACTTAGGCTACTTTTATTTTAGAAATATATATTAAATTCCACGCGGACGAAGTCGCGGATACGCTAGTATATGTATATATATATATATATATATATATATATATATATATATATATATATATATATATATATATATATATATATATATTTGATGCATTAATTAATTAAGCTGTAGGTGGATTTCATTCAAATATTTCTTTCTATTTACAAGTTGTTATTAATATGAACGCTGTCCATATGTCTTTTTTTCGTCTACCACAGGAGATTTTAATGTGATTATTACTGTAAAATTTTTATGATGACAATATTAGTTGTGTTACAAAGTTTTCACTCTGTATATTATTTACTCCTGTGGTATACCACGAATGTTAGAGAACATTTTGATGACAACGCATACTTATACTACTACTACATTTATATATAGATATATTGCTTTTTTTTATTGTGCCTGTATCCACCACTCCACAATTCCTTTCAGTCACTCAAAGGTTGACTGGAAGAAATCCCTCTGTTGGGATAAGTCCGCCATTGTACCATTATTATTTCTTTAACATATATATATATTATTATTTTGAACAATAAATAATTACATACAAACAAACTTATCATCAGATGCCAAATTGATCAGATTTAATTAAATGCTTCATCAAAATTGTTATTTTAATTAACATCAAACAACAATCTCGAGATCGTTCAATATTGAATTGTTTTTATTACAAATCGATTGCAGTCTATAACATAGTGTATTCATTGAGACTCAGAGCTGAGTCATCTAGAATGATCGTGACGAATTTGAAATGTTCGGTTACGACGAGGCTGTCTGTTTAATTATACTAATTTAATGTCAGTGCTTTAATTTAGTTCCTGAAGGTACTTATTAGAAGTATCTAAGAGGCAATGCTGGGTTATATATGAATATATGTATACAAATAAATAAAATTGTAGTGTCTGTTTGTAACTTCAAATTAACAGCTTTTGAATAGATGCATGTTTCCGCATTAAATATTTATGGTCTCAGACATGCATGCTTTAACATAATAATATATGTAGATCCATTTACTTAACGGATCTATATTTTTTGGTTTAATTTCGCTAACATTCGGCTACTTTCAACTATATTTCTATTAGCCCTAAGAGGTATAAAATAAAGGAATCATAAAAAACATATTTACAATTTTATTTATAAAAACAACATTAACTAATAACTGTACACATACTGACCATATCGTCCAATTATATCATAACATCATTCGAATTCGTAAGACATAGTATCGTTGCATTTATTTATAAATTAATAAATAAATATACATAGGTTATTTCCTGATATACGATCCTAAATATTAGTGTCAGCTTCTTTATATGACGTAAAATTAATATTTTTAGTGTATTTCTTTTGTTTGACTCTAAAAAACTAGTAAAGTAATAACTAACACAAAGACCAGCTGTTAAGCATTGTTTTATATAAATTACAATGAATATTATAATTTCAGTCCTCAAATTCATCAGGAAAAATGATTAAATTATTTATATTATTTTACTGGTAGCATTGTTACATTAAACAAACATTGCTATAATTTTTCTACAGGCGTTTGAAATACCATATCTAATAATCATATATTTTAAATGTAACAATACTATGCGAATATTGGTGGTTTCGACATCAACAATTTATATTATAAAAATAAAAAAAAAAGTATTAAATTATTATTTCCTGTGAACAGGTGGCAGTGACTATAGCTTAAATTAATCGTTTTATAACTAGATATCTTCAATAGCCGGCGTCGGCATCGTAACTATTTATTTTTCGGTCGTAAAGTCCTGAAACATGAAAACATATATCAATTTCTACTTTATCTAAACGGGATAAAATTTCGGGTCGGACATATATTTTTTTCTTATCCATATGATTTTTAAGCTACGCAGAATTTGTATTATGGGTACTAGACAACTGATAGAAATACTTAGATACATCTTTTTGTAAATACAAATGTAATATACATAGATAGAGAGAAGGGGATTGTTAGTAATGTGGACTAATAACCCCATTACTACCATTATAACATATCAGTATAACCTCCACGGGGCTCTCCTGGAAACCTGACTTTAAACTCACTTTATCATCCACCAATGGTGCCCCGCCATCGTAAATCATTAGTGTAGGCGGTGGAACATTCCATTAGTATACATAAAAAAATACGTACGTAGTAATAGTACGTAGATAAAGACCAATACAAATAATTAAACTTGAATACAAATATTTGTATCGTGCCAGGATTCGAATCCACGATCATCAGAAGTAAAGCGATATGCTAAACCGCTAGGCCACCGTGGCCGTCAATATATGTAGATTACAGCTATCAATATCCATCAGGTAGGTTGTTTGGTTGTGAACTATTCCTATTTAACTAAAACAAGATACCTTGAGAACCAGCAGTAAGCTGCAAACTCCTCAAGATGGCTTCAGGGATCGGCGGTGGTGTTGGTAAATGTGCACCTTCCGCTCGGAAGCCGTTCTCATCAGCAGTGTATGTGATGGAGTACGTTTGGCCATCATCACCTATGTAGGAGTAAGAACCAGCGACTTGTAGGGAACCCTCCTCTGGCACTGCTCCGGGAATGACGCGCCCTGTAAGTGGAAGATACATGAACTGTATAAATAATCACTCCTACAGAACTGACACAAACTTAAAAAAAGTTCTTTTTAAAAAATATACATAGAAATAAAAATAATTATACTCATGAATACAAACGTTCATATTGTGTAAGAATTGAAGTAGCGACTGTTAGCAAAAAAAATCTAAAGAGTTAAATCTAAAGACAACCGAACCTTTCTTAAATCTTATAATATTTAAATAAGTATACCTATTTCATCGTTTGAAGTAATTAAAAAAAATAAAATATGTCCCATAATAGTGGAAAAATGTAGCCCTGTCCCAAAAATGGCACCATCTATGTGACTAATTGTGTTTTTAAACATCCAGGTATTAAAACTCATACAAAAATTATTAATAACAGGTTAAGTGTAAATATAATGTCTCTAGTTTTTGTTAAGTTTATAATTAGCTATTACCAGCCCTTGTAATAACTAATTATAAACGTAAAAAATGAGTTAAAACCCAGTTTTTTAGGGATTGACCCTACCAGGGAAAAGGGGCTTCCCCCCAATCTCACCCTCCTAGAGAGACAAAATATAATCTAATTCCATCCAAACGTTTAAGAAGAGTTAAATGACAAAGACACACTGAAGAATCAGAAATACAAAATATATACTAAGAAATATTGACGTCAATGAAGAAGGAAGCAACCAAAGTGAGAACAGCAGCATCACTTTACACTTCCGTATATTCGCGTTAAAAAGCAAACAGCCAGAGGTAACGTATCAATTCAACTCACTTGATTAATTCCATCGTTAACCTTTGTGTTATTGCATTGTTTGAATTCACATAAACAATTTAAATTACATAAGATGATTATGATGTCTGATAATCAACGCGCGGACGTGATGTAAATAATCATTTTGTAAGATTTATGGCGATCTGGGAGAAGGTCGAATTGAAGGCATGGGTTATAGGTTAGTCCGGGTCCGAATTGCATAAAATTCTAATATTTTTTAAAGCATTATCTATCATGGACATGTGAGTATTTAGAATTATGATTTATGTTACTACCGAGGCGAACATTGTACAATATAGCCTGAGAATTTCTGTTGCTAAGCTACTTGCTCTATATGTTAGTAGCAGATATTCTCATAAACCCTCTGACTGAAGATAAGTTTGATAAAGTTATGTGTCAATTGCTAGAGATATTCTCAAAAAGCCTATGATTAAAGACAATAATAATAATAATCTTTATTTTACTGTTATAATATTCGGGTTTCTATAATTATACTTATCATAATAATAATACGTGAACCAAACTCTTTGTACTATTTATGAAAATTCGGAGTACGAAAGTAAACGGAGAAGTATGAAATTTCGCAGAATTATAGTTTATATAAATCTAATTCAATCTCCTACAGACAACTTTTGAAATGAGAATATATAACTAATAATAAAATAGGCGTCACGTGAGTGAAATAACAATTAAAAGAATTATGAGAATCTTTATTTTTTTCAGTTAAACTGTCTAATATATACATATATACTTAATGTGCCGTGTCATGATATTTGTGGTACTTTCATGTATATACACGACAGATACCACTTACCATCAGGTTGACCAGCTTATTTGCCATTCTATTTATATAAAAAAATGTTTTCATAATTCTATTAAAGTATTTAGGATTCTCCTTTCACTGTAACAAGTGATAAACATTTTAGCACTTTGTGAAATGTCAGCGCTTGTTGGGAATTGAACTGGTGTCCTCATAGGATGTCGAGGTCACACGACGAAGCTATAGGTAAGGTGTGTCGTAGATATAGTACTAAAATAGATATTTTATTCTTCAAGTTTTTTTTATGTAACTGTAGTGGTTAACAGACTGATAGATAACGTGATGTTAAGTGATAACTGTCGTCTATATGACTACTAGCTGTGCCCGCGGTTTCAAGCGCGTGAAATTTATAAATAAAGCATAAAGCGTAAAGTTTCATCAAAATCCGTTCAGTAGTTTTTGCGTGAAACAGTAACAAATATCTCACAAACTTTCACGTTTATAATATTACTAAGATTATGTACGTATTTATGAAAAATGTATCTATGTATTTATATCAATTGCCTAGTACCTATAACACAAGCTAGGACTAGATGTCGCAGTGTGAGTTTATTTTAATGAATGATAATGGAATGATGCACCAGTCTGCACTAACAGTTTGAGCGAACGGGGCACCAGTGGAGGATGCATTGCTAGCAATGGAATCAACAGTCCATATTAATACTAACAATCTTCTTTCATTATTTAAATTATTAACCTAGTCGAGATGTCGAGAGAGGTAAATACCTATATTTGCCATAAAATGATTCGTGTTACCCGGTTAATAATATAAATAATGCATATTAAACACAAAAGTTTAAAAATAACTATTTTCTTTCAATTCTCTTTAATATAAGGAATATTTCTCTTTATAATATAAGTAGGTATCTACATATCATACCTTACCAAAATCGTATATCCCTTTTTACAAAAATTAAACGAATGGAGAAGTATGATGAATAGAGAAAGAGTGCAGAATGTATTAGCATTCTGCACTCCTTCTCTATTTCATTTATTCTTCTTATATTCATTATTTTTAATTATGCATAAAAAAATATATTCAATCAATAAAAAAAAGGAGTAGCGTGTGTTGACTTGTTAAATGTATTTACCATACATACACATATATAAATATTTGTTATTATTCGTTCAAAGATATTTTTTAACTTTAAATATTTTATGGTCAAATTTTGACCACGGGGCTACCACTAGTTAGTGTAGATGTATATTAGTATGGATAACTTACCATCCTGTTCCACTTTGGTGCCATCGCTGGTTTCATAGGCGTAGTGATATCCTTGTTCATCAAGCTGATTATCAATCTTCAAGATTGTGGCCTGACTGCCCCCCTGACTGCTCCTCTGACTGCCAGATCCAAAACCTTGGCTGCCTTGACTATAGTTTTCTGCATCAGATCCTGATTCAAACGGTGTTTGAAGACCAGCGCTGGATCCACTCGAGGAGTCGGAGTTGGCTGGTAGGTATACATTATCAAGGCGGGCTGCTGTAGCCGCTGATGCCAATACGAGTATGATGAACTGGAAATTTCAAAGGAATACATATCTTAAAAGAATTTTTAAAATATTGTAGATGTTAGTGTAGTTTTGCAGATTCAGTTTGATTTGTTATCGGTGTTGCCACGATACGAAATGTAATTAACAATACAAGGCATGACACATTACATGACGGTCTCCATGGTTTAGCGTCTTAAGCGTGTTACTATTAGATTGTACGCGGCTTCGATTCCGCGCACAATATACATTAACTTTCAAAAAAATATTTCATTTCGTAGCTACATTTGAATTTAAGACAGTAAATATTAATGAAAATAAAGAGATATTTTGTAGACGTATATTATAGCAGAGAGCAGTGATAGAAGTGTATAAAAACAAAATGTATTAAAAGATCTCTCATATTTTAAATATGGATAAACGAATATAAAAACTGTCAGTGATTCTCATTGTAGGGATTCTAACAGACATTGATTCTAACAGAGCTTTAAGTGATAGATTCAGGTAACGACTAGGTGGCTACACTCTCTTTGAAATTAGAAGAATTTTTTCATTATTTACGTTAATATCGTTTATTTATTTATATATAATGACATCAACTTAAAGTGGAATTGGTTAATGCATAGTTATTTTGCTCAATTCAACAATACACGACGGCCTTCGTAGGAAAAACTTAGCTGGAATCAAGTTCCTGATTCGATTCTCGATCGGCACCTATTTCATGTATTAAATATGTTAAACATATATCCAAAGAACGATGATATTAAAGACTCATTAAAAGAACAATAAAAAAATATCAGTTCAGTTTCATGTCAGTTCTTCTCAATTGAAATAGCTAGCCAAACTGCTTACTGATAAAAAAATACATGCATAAGTGACCAAAAGAGTCGTACATATTGTTCGTTGCAAACACAGCTAGTTATATATATATAATATATAACTAGCTGTGTTTGCAACGAATATAGGACGAATGTGGAATTTCCATTTCATCCCCATTTATTTTACCCCCTTTAGGGATAATATTCGTACAAACTTTTGAATGTCATATTGATTGATGATTGAGCAAAAGCTTAAAAAATAAGTTTCAAGCTTGTAGCTTTAAAAATTATGATACTTCCATAGAACGTTTCATCTCCCCTTTCAACCCCTTACAACCCTTTCTTCGCATTAAAAAGTAGCCTATGTCCTTTCTCAGGGTCTAGACTATCTGTATAACAAATTTTATTTAAATCGGTGCAGTAGTTTTGGCGTTAAAGCGAGACATATAGACAGAGTTACTTTTGCATTTATAATATTGGTAAGGATTTTGATTTTATTGAATAATGTTCAATTATATAACATAGCAATATTATATGTTATTATTTCAGGCTACACTCATCGTTTACCATCAGATGGGCCGTATGCTTGTTTGCCACAATCTTAGTGTAAAAAATTGATTATTCAATTAACAATTATCCCATAATTCCATTTTGAAGTATTTGGTTAACACAATTTTTAATAACATAAAAAAATGAACAAATTAATAAATTTGGTGTATGTATCATTACAATTTAGAAATATATATTACACAGCATTTTTCGATATGAACGTAATTATTGTAATTAAGCAGCAGAATAAATGCGCTTTTTATTTTAATTACTCAATACATACGTCAATATTATGCAGAAGTGTATATTTTTTTGTAAAGTTTCAAAAATAAATGAAATATCTGTTAACCTTTAAGTTTTTTTTTTTATAATTCATGATATTAATGTTTCCTTAGTTACTGGAAAATCTTGTTTTTAGAATCGAGTCTAATTAAATTTGCGATAAAGTTTTTTTTTCAATTAACTGACCTATTAACTAGTAATAAGGATGTTTGTATAATTAACGAAAACGGATTAAACCAAAAGTATGTTGCATACCTATTTGTGTGAATAAAAAGAGTTATTTTTATAATATATATAATACTATTTATCCGCCCCGGTATCGCTCGGGTGTACATGTATTACACATATGAACCTTCCTATTGAATCACTCTATCTACTGCTAAAAACTACATTAAAATACATTGCTTAGTTTAAAAGATCTAAGCGAACAGACAGCGAAAGCGACTTCTTTTTATACTAAATAATCTGACATAAAAAAAATACATAAATATCAGAAAGTATTATTAAATAAAATATTCAAGTTTTAATTGCATTCTGCAAATAATGATTTTTGATTTCTTTTCATCTGTAGAGATAGTATTTATGCGTACAGATCATAATTATTTTGATGATAAATTATTTGTAACATATTATTATATGGATTCTGAATAATTTTGTGACACTATATAGCATAAATATAGTAATAATAATAATAATTTCTCAGGACAATTTATACAGCGCCATCTAGTCCCAAGATAAGCAGAGCTTCTGTAATAATAGTTGTGTTAAGGGTAATAGACAACTTTGCTTTTTAGTAATCATATTCATGAATACAAATGTTTGTACCGTGCGAGGAATTGAACTCGCGACTGTCGGATAGCAAAGCGGTATACTAAACTACTAGACCACCGATTAATAGTCATAGATATTAAGTAAAAAGAAATGGAAACAGATATATAAATTCAATTAAATTCCTTTACAAAATATGGGAATAGTTATATGGTATAGGTAAACAAACATAGCGGTTACAACCTTTTGTTAAATATATTTAACAATATTTTTTATAAGAAACGATGAACGTTATAGCCTACGCATATCATTACATAGTATAAAACAAAGTCGCTGTCGCTGTCTCTCCATCCCTATGTATGCTTAAATCTTTAAAACTACGTAACGGATTTCGAAACGGTTTTTTTTAATAGATAGAGTGATTCTAGAGGAAGGTTTGTATATATAATACACGTACACCCGGGCGAAGCTGGGGCAAGTAGCTAGTTTAAAATAAAACAAGACTATATTCTTGCCTTAATTGTTACGCCAGTAAATTATTTTCTAACAAACAATTACGGTAACAACAAATTAATCAGGTTAGGTAATATGGGCCACTATTTAGGAAAATATCTTTTTTTATGCATAATAAATATATATACATAAATAAATCAATAAAACATCTTCATGAAGTTAATTAACAAATAGTTACGACATCGATCACAATTCGATAACTCAATCACTCGTAAAGTTAAATCGATTAGTTAACGATTCCTATATTCACCAATCGCGATTGCAAACACTGACACAAATATAACACTTGATACATCGAATTGTAAATAGAAAGGTAAATATTATATCACATTTTTAGATATATATATATATATATATGAGAACTAAAATAGATAGGTAAACACTATGTCACATATTTATCGATATATATAAAAAAGTGCTAAAATTTAATTGTAAACACTATGTCACTTATTTATCGACTTTATAAAAAAGTAATAAATAGATAGGTAAACACTATATCACACATTTATCGATATATATAAATAAGTACTAACGTATTTCATATTGGTGAGCGAATCGTATGCAAGATGTTGGTGAAATGTGTTTGTGAAGTACATCTGCCTCGTTATATAGCAATGCCTAGTCGAATATCTGAATGATATAGGATCGGAATGCGACGCTCGATTTTTACTATCCCTTCACGATTTGTAAACTTTATTTCTATATGCGTAAGGTGCATAATACGTTTCGATTGAAACTATATCATTCACAAGGACTAAAATATCGAGTATTTGTTGTTGATAGTGTTTTTGTATTCACTACCTGTTTGAGATGTGTAAACTGTGTTGGATATAGTATGTTCTAGTGCTTCTTCTTTTTATATAGTAGATGTTTGCTCTAGAAAAAAAAAATTGTGCATAACAATATGTATTCCACAGAATTTGCTGAGTCAGCGGTTCCATTCTATAGATGGCGAAAGGAAAAAGGAAAAAAGAAAAGAAAGAAAGAAAAGGAAAAAGGAAGAACAAAAAGAAAACTTTTTGTTCATATACATCTTTTTCTTATTTTTCTTACTCTATTAATCCTTACTACTTATTTGAAATTACATTAAATTAAACTCTGATTTAGATTAAAAGTTTCCACTATAATAACTGTTATATTAAACACTAACGAAGTAACACATCGCATATACAGTTAGTGCAAATTTTTTTATAGTTATTTTCACGTATCTTCATATCAGTTGAAGATGAAAAGTGCTTTATTCTCTGAACAATCGTCGACTCTGAGCTTATATATTTTAGTGCTGCTGCGGGTCACATTTAAAGACACAAATATCACTTATTACTCTTAAGTTCAACAATGTGCATCATGACGACACATAACAACCTGGGCGGATAACCATGCCAGGTTGACCTCCACGCGGTTCCCCTGGAAACCATCATAATAACGATGTCACGATGGACTAACTGACCTGACCTCATGTTCATCTTATCATCCTCCACTGGTGCCCCGCTAGCGTAAACCATTAGCGCAGGCGGGTGCATCATTCCATTATCATACATAAAAAAACCTGGGCGGATATTCATACTTTGTTGCATATGACGGTCTCTATGCAATGTAGCAAACCATTGCCTAATGGCAAACAAGATGATGAGGAGTTTGCCATTATAATAACTATAACTGTAATTCATACAGTAGATCTAGTCCCCAGCTAGAAGAGCTTGTGTTATTGGTACTAGCCAACTGATATAAATACTGAAAATAAATGTATATATAAAATATACAGAAAAGACCAATACGAAGAATGGTATTCATGAATACAAATGTTTGCATTATGCGAGGAATCGAATCCGCGACCATCGGAAATAAAGCAGTGTACTAAATCGCTAGACCACCGGGGCAGTCGAATATTTTCAATATTCTATGTATACAAGTTTTTATTGCATATTAAAATGCTTACAACGTCATGTAACAGAATTAGTATCATAACCAAATATACGCAGACCTACCCGCGAGATTCTACTAGTATTAAAATATGTAAAGTAACTCCCTGTTATAGGCATCTTTGCAATAAAGGCTATATCTAAAACAAAGGCTATCAGAGTTAGATCAAATGTTTGCGCATTGCGGACTAGTGACTGATGTTGAAATATAAATGTACGAAAAATATTGGATATCCAACAAGAATTTATACTATTTATATATTTACTAGCTGTGGCCGCGACTTCGTCCACGTGGAACTTTGAAATTAAGAAAAAATATTAAATAATTTTACCTAAAAAAAGCGAAAAAAGTTTAATCATTGTAGCTTTAAAATGACGAATTTCCATACAAACTTTCGTTTCCGATTTTATTTTAACCCTTTATCATTTTACTTAAGTACCCTTAAGTAAAATGATAAAGGGTTAAATATTTTTACAAAATTTGAATGTCATATTTATTTATATTTAATCAACAGCTTAAAAAATAAGTCACATGATTCTAACTTTAATAATGAAAATACTTCCTTCTTAGGGTCTAGATTATCTGTGTACCAAATTTCGTTTAATTCAGTTCAGTAGTTTTGGCTTGAAAGTGAGAGAGACAGATAGAGTTACTTTCGCATTTATAATATTAGTAATAATTTATTTTAATATTATTTGTGTAACAATATTGTCCCCTAGTACCAACTGCTGAATTTCACTAAAACACTATCCTGATCATATGGATGAATGGTGGTCCTTCATAGTGCATTTTACCAGCAACTTTTTGCCACATGTAAGCACATTATACAGCCACCTTCCAGCAATGGTTTTTCTAAACCAATATTACATTGAAATCATAAAGAAATGAGTATTTTTCTTCTTGAAAGTCCGGCAACGAACTTGAAATTACCGTGGTGTTGCAGGTGCCCATGGGCGGCGGTATTCACTTACTCAGGTGAGCCGCAAGCGCCTCTTCTACATGTAGATCTGAGAAATGGTTGTATTTATTTTTATACCTTTAAGTAATAATGGTGGCCCATCCCATTAAAGTCTTCCTTTTTTTGGACACAATTTTTTATTTAATGTTCTTATCATTCGTCATTAAAAAATACATACAACACAACATTTTCACCCTTCTACCATCAGCCCCTATTTTTTAATTCAGTTATACAGCAGAACAAAGGTCAGCTAGTATTAATATAATAACGTTTGTTATTGTTTAGTCGTTAAATTTAAAATATTACTATTAAAGTATCCTATAAGTATTCTAATCCAACTACAAGTATGTTTGACGTGAAATAGTTTTTATCTTACATTCAAATATGGTCACCACTCACCATCAAGAGGTCCGTATGTCTGTTTATCCTCATCTGCAAAACTTTACGCAATAAACAAACATAGCGCGATGTTGCGTGCCACTATATTATTATAAACCATTTCTTTTGATATAACTGACCTAGCTTCGTACTTTATAAGAGTTTGTTCATATGTTTGTACATGCTATAATGAGTTTATATATTTAATGGTACACGGTTACGTAGGATAATGTCATAAAATGGTCACGTTATGGGACACAAACTATAGATACAGTAATCCACTAATTATAGCGAAAAGTTGCAGCTAAAAGAAATTCAGGCAGATTAACGGCCTCGGCTGTCTAGCGGTTTAGCACACCACCTTACTTCCGATGGTCGCGGGTCCGATTCCTCGCATGGCACAAATATTTGTATTCATGAGTATGATTGTTTGTATGGGTCTATTCTTTTCTATGTATAAAAAAAACCTATGTATTTGTATCAGTTATCTAGTACCCATAAGACTAGCTTTAGCTAGCTTAACTTGGGGATAATTATTGTTATAGTTTATCAAAAAGTTGCAGGTAAAATAAGATCTAGCATGATGATGCACCCGCATCACTAATGCACCCGCTTACACTAACAGTATGCACTGTCAAGGTACCAGGGAAGAATAAAACATGAAGATGAAATCAGGCTTCAAATACCTGAAAATTAACAGAGAAGAAAAGAAACAGAGATACCGAAACAGTAATCTAGCTAATCAATTAGTGAATAATTGCAGATAGCATCATGATGGTAATGCACTCGCTTACATTAACAGTATGCACTGTCAAGGTACCAGGGAAGAATAAAACATAAGGATAAAATGAGGCTACAACCTGAAAATTAACAGAGAAGAAAAGAAACAGATACCAAACCGTTACCATATATAACCAAAACGTAGTTTGAACTATACCTTGATGAACGATTTGGGAGAATTAATGAGGCGAGAGAAGTCACGAAAAAATCGAATATCATATCAGTAAACCATAAATATCATATCATAAAGCTTTAGTTACTTGACCAAATTACAACCAAGTTTATTATATAAAATTTCCTCATTAGAACAACGTTTTGATTTGTTTATATTTCAAATTACTGGATCATAAGATTTTATTTGATTTAGGAATTATATTGCTCAATTAATATGAGTAACGTGTTATATTACAATTTATATTACAAATTAAGTTGGAAATTAAACAACCATTAACATATAGAGATCTATTATAGAGGGCGCTATAGTCCTAAGAGGAAGAATTAAATATAATTTTTATTGAACTGCAGTGGCCTAGTGACATAAAATCTGTTTTAATTAGATAGATAAAAAAATTATTTGCATTAAAGACCACACTCGTAAGGTACAGTAATATAAAGAAAAGTAAATACATAACTACATTGATCAGTAGTTTTAATTCTGACTCCAAGGGTCGTGAATTTGAATCGAAGTAAAGTAATAAAAACTGAACGAAATCTTGTTACCCAAGTATTAAGATTTAAAAGGATGAAGAATGATAAAGAAAAAGAACATTGTGTTACTTTCCCAACTTTGGTTGATCTTGTATTATTAGTATCAAGTAGAATATTGAGTGAGAAAAATATAAAAATTATGATCACTGATATATCACAATGATGATAATTTTTATATTTTTCTCACTCAATATTCTAATATATAAATTATAAAACTTCGGCGTGGGAAACTCCTTCGTCCAAGTAACTCTAATTATTTATAATATGTTCACGGACTTATTTCCACTTATCTAGACGATCTAGATGTAACTAAACTAATTTCTAATTGGAACGATTCCGTGGAGAAATATTACGTGGCCGCGTTGCAAAGGACGTGAGTATTTATTTTGCCTTGAACTATATCGAGTTTTGTTTGCGCGATTCGCTCTCTTAAAATTTGAACATCACTATCCATGAATAGAGTATAGTCTATATTCAAATACACTTCAATTAAAGCACATTTAAATAGTCACATGTAATGACCATGTTATTTCATTGTCATACAGACGGCCTTGGTGGTGTAGCGGTTTATATCACTTCTGATGGTCGCAGGTTCGATTCCTCGCACGCTGAAAACGTTTGTATTCATGAGTGTGATTAGTTGTGTCGGTTTGGGTGTTTCCTATGTATATTATGTATGTATTTACAAAAATATGTGTTTAAGTGTCCTATCAGTTTTTTAATACCAATAATACAAGCTCTGCTTAGCTTGGGACTAGATTACGCTGTATGAATTGTCCTGAGTTATTATTACTATATATTTCCCTTGAAATATGTACATATACAAATAAATAAAA